AATTCAGGAGCTCAAGAGAATCAAGGAATCCGATTGTACAGGTTTATGTTTCGATTACGGGGGCCGTTTAATTGTTCAGGAGAAACAGGAAGGCCAATCCCTGTGAAGGAATTGGCAGGGTTCCGGGTTTTTTTTGCGGTGGCACGGTAACGAGACACAAGGATTGAGGATCTTCTTGGTTTCCTCGGTCTTGTGTTGCTTTTTGGCCTCCATCTCCCCTCCCTCCCTTCACTCTCCCTCCCCTTCCCTCTCCCTCCCTCCCTCCGTTCACTCTCCCTCCCTCCCTCCTCCCTCCCTCTGGTCTATGACACGAGCCCAATGCACACCTAATGTTGTTTGAGAATGCTACGATGCCGAATGGTATTGGCCCAAGACTGGACGGCTGCTTACGGCTGCTTAGTCGCACAAAGGAATGTCTGCTTGAGCGTGATGCTCGTAACTGAATGTCTGCTTGAGCGTGATGCTCGTAACTGTCTATATTGTGTAGCATCAGTGTAATGGAATTTTTCAAGGTAGCGGAGCTTCGGTTCTGGAACCAGGGAAGGAGTGAGAAGGAATGGACGTCGGAGTGAGACGCAATGGGGATGGATCAAACTGTTTCCTCCACCAACTTACCACTGTGAGTTACAGAAACGAGGAGCTTCGCTTGCTTAAGTTGTTGTGGCTGTGAGGTTGGGCAGGAGCCGGTAGAAGAGATGGATCCCAAGTACGAGTTACACTATGACATGCATGGGACTTCCCACGGCGACCACGACTTACCGACCCGATTTGATGCCTGATTGTGTCGAGGGCTCGATTGCCCCTCAGGTTGAGGATGCGATCATGCACTTCCGTACCGCGGGCTAGCCCCGCTCTTTTAAGCCATGCGAACTTGCTTCAAAGAATCGCCTGCCATCCGTGAGTGGACATTCCTTCGTGAAGACTTTCAAACATGCAGTTTTGCATCGTACCACACGTGGGATATTATGTAGCCGTGTGTGTACAGTTGTCATGTTGGTGTTTGTTGGGACTGTATGCTCAAGCCCTCCGCGTGAAAAAGTAGAGTGCTCTACAGCTCATGGCTTAGCAGCGTACCCTGTGGAGTCTATACGTTATCAGCCGTATCTGCTACAATCTGGTCTGGTATTGCTGCAGTTTTATGAGTGACACATCTCCATTTATTACTTATTCCGACAGAAGTGGCCACTACCGAAGTTATGTCCAACGAAGCATCGGATATTGATGAAGGTCTTGGTGTTGGTACAATAGCTGGTACGGTACAAGCTGGGTCAACGGCACCGAGCTTAAATGCGTCGACCCCAGCCGCGCCGTCCTTAGCGGGTGTGTTCAACCCGACCAACGTGTCACCCTTCTTGTCTGCTCCAACCTTGAACCTGAATCAAACGCCTCACACGCTCTATGAAAAACAATGTTCAGGTAGGGGAAACAGCAGAAAAAGCAGGAGCTGCAGTATCACAGGCCGAAACANNGAAGACACAGGGCCTATGCACAGCAGCAATCATATCTGACATCCATGGAAATCCCGCAATGGAGGCCCAAGCGGAAAAGGTCCACGAAGACCGGATGTTGTTATGTACAGCTGAACTTCAGCAAGCCTCCCGAAGGGAGAAATTCCTGCTCAGTGAACTTTTCAGAGTGCGTTCCGAAATCACCATCAAGCAGAGCTTACCCGACTAAGCACCACCCTTGTCGAGGAAGGCGAGGGCGAGTGGAACAAGATTGAGGCATTAGACGACCTAGGTCTCCGTTTTGAACACGTTATTGATGAAACAGAAGAAGCAATGCACGCAAACTTTTCAACCGAAATCAGCGAAATGAGTGCCCAGAACGACAGACTGCCGGACGAACTGGCTGCAGCAGAAAGAGCTCTCCGAATGGAGAGCGAAGCTAAGAGTGATCAGGACTGTCCAAAGGCCGCTCCCAAAGAGCAGGCCGTCCCACGGTCGCCAGCGCCTCAGCCTAGGGCTACCTTTTCTGATTCGCATGCGATTCCCGAAAGCCTGCGCGATCTGTTCCAAACAAAGTACACAGCGTCTTCTGCACCGCGTGGTTTCGAAGGTAATTACCCCGAAAAATCAAGGTGTCCCACCAAACGAAAAGGACAACACCACGGGGGTGCCGACCGCAGAAACTGGAAACCCGGCTGGAATTGATGCCATAACACTCTTGCAGGCCGCAATGCAAATGAACACAAAGCCAGAATCAGAGGATAACAAACCCAAGCGGGTAACGAAGCCGAAAGCATTGAGCTTCCGGACTACCCGAACCCAGCAACCCATTTTGGAAGACGTCTGTCAGAGAAGTGGTCCGCGCAGCGAGCGACCGACCGGACGAGGTCTTCAGTTGGGTTCAGGAGGTTTATGCTACAAACACCACTTTATCGTTGCCTCACGATGCTGGGAAGTTTCTCACTCTTGACACAAGTTGTTAGCTGCATGAACACGCGGTGCAAAGGGCGAGATCTCCAGGCCAGTACCTCAAGACAAACGAAGATGTCGGAAGCTTTTAAAGCATTGAGGATTTATTAAAGGTTACGTTGGTTGGGGATGACCTAGCTACGTTCCTCTACAATTTCGAATCGGTGATCGCGGGAATGAGCCACGTTCCCGACGAGGTTGCCCTTAGGGACATCTTCCTGAGACGAGTGCGAAAGTCTCACAGTGTCAAGTACGACCTCTTTGATCGTGCTGAGGAAGGGACGCCATTTCACACGTACGAATTCCTTGTCAGTGCCGTCAAAGAACATCTAACATGTCTAACATCGCCAGGTCTCACGGCGAAAAGTACGGTTCCCAGCCTATGATACTTAACGCCCCTCGTCCTGAGGAGGCCGAGGAAAAAGTAGATTAAGTAGATCCCAGGGCCCAGGGCAGCTCAAGATCGCGAGCAAGTAGCCAGCGACAGTCAAGATCTCCGAGTCTAAAGACGCAGTTGTGTCATGACGTTCAACTGGCAGATGCACACGAGGCGATTGTGCGTGCAAGCACCTCCACAAAGCTAGGTCTAGATCCCCAGGTAGGTCGCCCAGCAGAGCACCTAGCGCAGGGAAACCGCCGCTGATGAAAAACAACGCCACTTGCATCTTTTTTGGAAGCAAGGCAAATGCAACAGAGGAAGTGAATGCCGTTTTCTCCACGAGGAAAAGAACAAAACGTCCAATGCCCCTCTTTCCGAGCAGGCCGCTCCTGCTAGTAACAACGACAAACCAAGAAGCCTTTCTTCGGACCCAAGCACACGAAGAAAGCCAAAGTCCAGGGGGCGATCAACCAGCAAGGACCAATCCAGCGGACGAGCGGCGGCACGTTGCATTTCGTATGCTCTCGCTGCTGCTCCCATTGGAGTCCAAAGACGGAATGGTTTGTGGGGGGCCAGTAAGAAGTTGCATTTCAAATAAACCCCTAGGATCATGGAGATACCCATTGAGGGGAATGGCTTCAAGCACAGAACCAAACCCCAAACCCCGCACTTACGAAGTGCTGAAAGTTGCCCGCCTCCCAATCCGCAGGACCTCAACAGGGCTATATTATATAAAAAGTAGCCGAACAACTTGCCAGCACAGTGTCATCCATGCTGAACAGGATAAGCTGTCCCTGCAACTACATGTCAATGCGTGGTGACGATGTCGACGATGGCGAGGATGAGACGAAACTCCTGTTGCCATTCTGAGGTCTGTCACGCTGCTCTAACTTGGAGCGCAAAGTGCCTTGGTTTTGATGCGGGACTCGAGTTCCTCGCCGAGACGGGTAGCGAAGAAGATCTCATCAGCAAACACGATCATTCTACCTAGGCCAGTGAACTTGATCACTGCTAATTGTCCTGTTCAGGGTAACAAAGCCATCCTGTTCAGAGTGTAACAAAGCCATCAACACCAATTTGCCTGAACATATGCCACCAGTCGAATGCTACCTGCTTGAAAGCACACTTCCTGTGTGTTCAGTCGGTAGAGGTGTATGGACGAAGACTACGAGTTCCATTGGCCCCGCAGAAAAGCAACATACTTCATTACGCCTGAAGGCAAGAAGATACAGTGCAAGCTAAAGGGCCGTGTTCCAGTCATCACCACCAGCGACGAAACGGTAGCCAGCCCCTCAAGTCTCGACGCCTCAGGAAGATCGGCTGGAGCTCCGCTGTTTAACGCTGGAGCCGCAAAGGTTGAACTGGCAACACCTGCCGAGGACCTGTCCTCGGGTTTCCAGTAGATAGCCCGCCGAGAGGCGAGGCCGAGGTTGAAAGGGTCNNGTGGAAAGGGTCGTGCATGAAGACCCCGAGATAGATCAATGCTGCACCGCCAATGCAAATCAATGCTAAAGATCTAGCTAAGCCTGGTTGGATCACTAGTGGTAGCGATGCTTCAACGAAGGTCATTGTTGGCCATCGGCCNNTTCGTGCTAAGGACCACCTGGATCTACAAAGACTCCGCTTGGAATAAAATTGGGGATTCTGTTGACATCAGAATCCGAGGGATAAAAATCAGAAGATTGAGGGATCGCCATTTCTTTCAATCACCGCTTTGAACCCACCCGAAGACGATCCCTTTCCTGAGCCCGATAGCGGAAGGGATCTTCCTTGGTTACCATGTGCAGCCTGGTTTCGTCTTGAAGAGGGGATACATGGTTGCACCAGTAAAAGATGCACATCATGCCGTTGAAGATGGAACATCGAAGATCATCAGGGCTAAGCGTGTTGAACTTTTGGAGGTCGAGTTCGTTTTCCCCATCCAGTATGATCAGATGAAGCTTTCTGAGTCCAGTACGTGGGATCCCAGCACTGCCAGGGGGTATCGATGACGAGGGGGGAGTTCAGAAGGAGCTCAAGCAAAAGGGCCAGAAAGCGCACTTTGGTAGGATCTTCGAATTCTGCAGCCTCAAAGGCTCCGAACTCCCCAAAAGTCACCCTCAGCGGAAGTATACAAGGGACGCTCCGTGTTCCAGAGCAACCAGGTTCGTGACGAAAATGCGGATCATGTGATCTTCGCCGAACTAGGTTCAAGCCCCGCTAGTATGGAAGCTGCTAGTGTTCGGAAGCCAACCTGGTTACTCGAAACAACAGGCCGACGCACGCCAAGCAGACACCCAAGCCTTGTTTGAAGGGATTGCAACCTGGGTCAGGCTCCCTAGAACCAGGCGGCCAAATCATGGACCAACTACCGAGATCCTGTTTGCCCGCTTCGCTTAGCACTTTACGGTCATCCCGACAGCGGCGGTATCTGGGAAAAGCACTGTACTAAGCAGCTTAAGAGCATTGGATGGGTCCCGGTACTTCCTGACATATGGCAAAGCATTTCCTGTCACCCGGAACTCGATCTTCTCCTCGTTGTCTACGTGGAGGACTTCAAGATGGCAGGACCAAAGGTCACCAAAGGATGGGAGGGCATTTCAAAGGTTTTGGAAATGGATCCTGCTGAGCCGTTGAGAAGGTGCTTTGGTTGCCATCATGTGGAGAAGACCTTGGCTAAGCTCGATCGTAGCGTTCCTCCCTTGGCTTATGTGTTTGACAAACAAGAAACGGCAGCAGGTGCAGCTGGAGGAGACTCCAAGCCGACAGAAGACTATTGAGAAATCGATCCCGAGTCTGCCGTTGCCATCAAACATCACATCTATCCCCACAAGCGCTTGTATGTTCCACCGAGGTGGACAGCAATCAGTTCCCGATGCTTGGAACACAACGCATAACGGAGATGGACGACGGAACTAGCAAACATGACGATTACAACAAAGTCGGTCCCTCTCGCATGAACCCTTGGTGGACAGGGAAAACTTTGTTCCCCATCATGGCTTCTTCGGAAGAGGAGTTCAGGGTTGCCGTAGCTGCCCGAAAGGGCAGGCCGATGCGTAGCAAGTCTGAAGCCGAGCGAGAAGCCAAGCAACAAAGGTCCAAAGGGACCGAAACCATCGTCGATGATGCTGTTCCATCCATGAACAAACCCGTGAACATCATGTTTTACGATATGAGAGACTTTCTTGTTTCTTCTGTCGACAAATACTGTGAGTTTGCCGGTGTTGGCCTCGCATCTACCTGGTACGGCGCAATCCTGAGTTTCCAGGACTTCATCAAGAACGCGGCCAGGTCACACTAATGATGTCAGGCTGCAGACTTTCGGCCTGTTCGGTCACGGGTATGTTGACATCCAAGGTGACAATGAGGAGACCATTGCTGGCAACCTTGCCACTGTGTTTCGCGACGATCTGGGGTATGCTCTTGCAGTGGTTGCCGAACCAAGGGAGCAGCTCAACGTTCCAGACGGGCGCAGCCAAAATACGCCACGCATCTCCCACTTGGACAGGAGCAGAAGAGCAAAACAAAGGGCACGGGTGGAGGCAAAGGTGCCGGCAAATCTACCGCATCAACAACTGCATGCCAACGCCCGTCGAGAGAGTGGCCGCAGTTGGACGCGGACCAATCGGCAATGGACTGATTGGCGTTCCTCCTGGAGCAACTGGTCTTGGCACGGCTGGAGCTAGCGCTGATCCCAGCTAGGAGCCAGCCATTGGTTCTTTTCTTTTTGAGCCATCTGGCATTGGAGGGAGTAACCTTCCAGCCAGTGGTGGGTTTGGGGTTCAGGGTTTAGGGTCCCAGACCCGTACCCCAGACCCGTACGTCTTCTGAAGCTCGATTCTTGATCCTTTGAACATGTATGCCAAGCGCAACACTTCTGCAGGATCTACACCAGGAAACCTGAGCAAGCCCATTCCTCAGATTCGTCTATAATCTTCCCGTAAACTCTATTCCAATCCTACAGGCCCTATAGTACCAAAACTGGGATACAAGTAGTTGCAACGCTGTATGATTCGACGTCACTTGTGATAGTATGTCATGCTCCCGTGATTCCTGGCTCGTCAAGTAGGGTATTTGGGTTCAGGTTTGGGCTTTGGGGATCCAAGTCCTGAAGCCCGAACCCAGCTGGCGTCATGGGCTGGGCCTGTAGCGTGCAGGCTTTGCCGTGGTGCATGTCTTTACCGTCTTTACCAACTCCACAGTGTTCTGTTTTGTGCATCCTGGAGGAAGGGCAGTCGGAGACCTGTGCTGTTCTCGTGCGGCTGCTGAAACGGCCGCCAAGGCTTGGGGACTAGAGCTTCGTAACAAGACACTGTATCTTGGCGTGTTGCCGGATTGATGCGAGCCGTGCCACGTCGATGCTTTGCCATGCTGAGCAAGCTGGTGGAAGGGGTCGTCGCAAGAGTTGGTTTTGCCACTGGGACATGGGGAAAAGCAGCCAGCACGTAAGTGACATGACGATGAGTGGTCACAGACGGTTTCGACCTGTCCCACTGCCGGGCAGGAACCTTGTCTTTTGAGTGTGTTCAACCTCTGTGTGATCGTTTCGTTTTGATGGATGAAGGTTGTCGGGTTGAACAAGAATAAGCGATGGCAGAGTGCAAAAGCCCAATGCTTCCGAGAGAGAGTTGCGGTGTAGAACCTCCAAGCAACCACTGGACGTGATGTACAGCGGCAGGAAATGGAGAGATCCTATCTCCATGTGGTACATTCGCGGACGTCCACCTGCGCACGGCACAGCGCACTTGGAGGCCCGGAAGCTCGTGGTGGGTCGAGAGCGGACCTGGCTGACTAACACCAAACACTGAGAAATCCGAATACGCCTTGTGGAATAAGGAAGGTCTTCGTCCACCCACCCACAGTCGTAGCTCAACAACGGTTGCGCATCTTTGTGTCTGATATACTTCAACTTGAATTGCTTGCATGAATGCTTGCATGACCATCACCGAGTTGATAGTTTGCCGGTGAGACTAGTCGATCGTTGCACGAACTGCTTGGAGTCAACTTGGAGTGCATCATGGGGCTGAAAGCTGCATGGCACAAAGTGCTCAGGTTGCAATGGTGGCAGCGCAGGCGGGGGGATATTTGTTTCCATACTTTTGCTTGCCCTGAGACTCTCCGCCCAGCTGCTCCTGCCTCACTTGCCCCACTTGCTCTCCCCCACTCCCGATCCGCCCTAGCCCAACCACCCACCCCTTGCTTCATCAGTCTAGGAGTTTGGCACACTCGGACCAGTCACCGCTGTCCTTGAATGTTTGTTCTGTAGCTGATCATACAAAACTGTCTTGGAATGGCTGCGTCCTTGATCGTGGCTGGTCGGTCGGAGATAGCTGTCCGAGGAGCCTCACGTGTTTTGCAGCTGGTCAAAATAATTGCAGAAGTGTACTGTGCATCGTGTGCTCTCCATAGCGGTAGCCGGTCAAAGACACCTGTCCGGGAATCGATGCATAGTTGATGTTTTTTTCTGGAGTGTTGCTTTCTGCCTTCTTGGCGTGGGGGGTATCTTGGCGTTGGGTTATTGGCTTCCGGGCTTTCTGAGGGAGCCATCAAGAATTCCAATAGACATCAAAGCACGAACAAACGTCAAGAAGTCCGTAAGTTGGATGAGAATGCAAAGAAAGGCAGGAAAGGCATGAACATAGAACTAATGAGCTACAGGACAAACGAAGGAAATAGATACAGATAGAGAGAGAGAGAGAGTTTTAAAAAAAACTAACGAAAGAAAGACGGACAAGAAGCAGAACTAGTGAATAGTCGATGAACGCAGCAGCAACAACAACGACGACAACAACTTCAAAAGCAACAACAGCAACAACAGCAACAACAACAAGAAGAATAAATAGAAGAAGAAGAACAACAACAACAACGCTCCAACGTC